AACCGGGAAAACCCAGGATTTTTGTTTTTTTTAAAAAAAAAATTAAACCAAACAACGTCGTTTGTTAAACGAGCCAAGTCGAACTCAAGTATTGCTGAGCTCGACTCGAACTTGAAAACTTTAAAAGTAAGTTCAACTCAACTCAAACTCACAAGCTAAAAATTATCAAGTTCAACTAAAACTCGAAATATAATATTGAAACTTGAACTCAAAAAGACTTGAACTCAAAAATAAAATTTGAAGCTCGATTGAAGCCTAAAATTCGAGCTTGATTGAAGTGAAAGAGTAGTTCACTCAATGCTCACCAAAAGGCTCCATGATTTTGAATGTCAAATTACCTCTATAATTTATAGAAGTTAGTTGTGATGCGCTTCTATGTTTCTTAGCAATATGAGATTGTTTTGTTCTCATATTTTTACTCTTTAGACTTTTGGGATGCTCTTCTATGTTTCTTAGCCATGTGAGATTGTTTTTAAAAAAAATTTAAACCAAACAATATCATTTTTTTATGATTTTTTAACCCCAAATTTATTTTTTAATTATAGTTATATAATTATATTTAATATTTAATATTTTTTACCTTTAATATATATTGTAGTTAATTTGAATCATTTTGTTTCACTTGATTTTATGGTTTTTAACTTATATATGTTATGATTTGCTTTGAATATGACTTGTGATATAAAAAATTATTTTTTTATTAAATATTTTTGGTATTTTTATTTAATTTTTTAAATAATTATAACGTCGTCCGGTTCGACCGGTTGAACCAGTGAACCGGTAGCATGACCGGTTCGCTAACCGGTCTGGTTCTGAAAACCATGAGGTAAATTGGCATCATGAAGTAATGTGAGACCAGTTTCCACAAGATGACAGTGACGTCGTTTCGAGACACCATTTTGTTGTGGTGTGTGGGGAGCGGTTAAATGACTTATGCCATGAAGAGAGAAAAAAGATTTTAAGCGCACATATTCTCCTCCATTATATGAGTATATGGTTTTTATTTTGCATTGAAACCGGTTTTCAACAAGCTTTTTTGAATGGGGAAAAATTGTTGCAACCCCGGATTTTGTTTCCATGGGATTAAACCACATATATTTTGATATGATGGTCAACAAAAAGAAGATAATAGCGGAAACCATCTAAACCAACAAAATGGGCAAGACCCCAAACATCTGTATATATAAGTTCAAGAGGGGCATTGCTCAATAGGGTATTAGAAGCAAAGGGTTGTTGATGAGCTTTATTGATGGAGTAGGAAGAAAATAAAAAAGATTCTTTATTTGTTGTGACTGGAAGTGAAAAATTGCGAACAACATTGTGAACAATTTTGGAGGACAGATGACCAAGACGTTTGTGCCACCCGGCAAGAGAGGTTCGTTCATGCACATTTGCAACCTTTGGGGAAACCGCTAATGTTTCCAGGAAGATGTAGACACCATTTTCGCATGCACCTCTTAGTAGGGTCACTCCCGTGCTCTTATCCTTCACAAGAAAATGAGAAGGGTGAAATTCTATAAGCACATTATTTTGTGATGTAAAATGATGCACAGATATGAGATTTTTAGAAAGGCTTGGAACACAAAGTCTATCGTTGAGAATAACAGTCTTTTGTGGTGATTTTAGTGTAAGGGATCCTATGTGTGAGACAGCCAAACCTGAACCATCACCCAGTACGACTTCATCAGTACCATCATACTCAGAATGGATGGATAAATTATTGAGATCTCCGGTGATATTATGGGACGCAACGGAATCCATGAGCCATTTATTTTCTGTGACATGAGAGGCTGAAGTACAATTGGTTGTCACTGCATTAGAGTTTAGTTGAGGACAAAACTTGGCCGTATGACCAATCTGATCACATAGTTGGCATTTGGGTTGATATCTTTTCTGATTTGAGTTGGGTCGGCCTGTTTATTTTGTATTCGGCCGATTGTCTTTATTTTGGCCCTAATTTCGCGAGAAACCAGAGGGTTTGTCGTGATGCTTCTGTGAAGGATTTCCAGAAGTTTGCTTGCGGTTGGTGTAGTTTGCTGACACCACAAGATGTTGAGTGGCTGACTCTAGCCGCCGAAGGTAGTTGTCATGGCCAACCAAAAGGTCATGAAGCTCTTCAAGGTCAAGGATTTCTCCCTTGCACGGATTGGAGCGGCTATTTCCCTGAAATCAGAACCCAAACCGTTAAGAATGTAAAGGGTGAGATCATCGTCAGAGATGGGATGGTCGATTAGAGCTATCTCATCAGCCAGTGCCTTTACTGCATGAAGATACTCTGGAATCGATCGATTACCCTTTTGAATCAAGGTAATTTCTTCCTTGAGTTGCATTGCCCTCATTCGGGATCTGCTAGCATACATGTGATTTAACCTTTTCGATGCCTCGCATGACGTTTTAGCGGTAGCAATGAGAGGAGTGATTGTGGTGGTTGTGGAGGCAAGGAGGGCGAAGAGAATTAATTTGTCATGCCTAACCCAGTGGATTATTTGTAAGGTAGATGACAGGGTGCCATCAGATTCAGGACATACGGAGGTGCCTGTGACATAATCTAAAAGATTATACCCAATTAGAAGAGATTCAAATTGGGCACGCCACTGGGGGAAGGTGGAGGAAGTTAATTTCTCATTGATTTGTGCTGTAATGTTGAGAGCAACCAGTGAGATTTCTGTGGGAGAGAAAGGTTGATTGGTTGGAGAGAAAGACATGTCGAAAGAAGAGATCGTATTCTCGTTTGAGTTTTGGTCTTCTGATACCATGTAAGGAATTACAGAAGATAATGCAATGGAAATTTTCCTACCTATTATTGATGTTCTTTTAACATTATTTATACAGATTACATACCAAATAAGTTACAGCAATGTAGAGATTTATAACGGCTAGCAAGAATCAAGCTGTATAATTTATTTACATTAATGATAGAAATCTGTAGCACTAATCTTGGTAAGAATACTCGCATGATCGAATCTGGGTAACTTGCTTTGACAGAATCTGCCTTGATATCGTGGATGATAGAGTTGCAATCAGATTCATTACATTCCAGTGCTAGTCCATTGCAAAGATTACGGCATACTTTTTCATGGAGGGCAATTCCAAATGTTTTTCACATCAGTTAATTGATATGGATGATTACCATATACGACTTTGCTTCAAAGCTTCATAAGCTGAGGGTCCCCGAGAACACATTTGGAATGAAGAGAGTTATAACAATCGACAAAGTAATAAAACTGATCATTAGAGTAATGTTCGTTCTCACAAAGATTACAGTAATGTTGAGAAGGACTAGAATCATTCAAAATATGTCAGATTAAGATGGTGTTTGTCATACTTATACCAACCTTTGAGCGGTTGCGTCACGCACGATATATGTGAAGTGAAACCACAATGCTTCATGCATGTATATGCAATTCGACCACTGTATTTGGTTGGAAAGTTTTGGACAAGACGGGGTGAATGATCATGAGTCATGACTTGGATGCTTCAAAGTATATGATAGTAAATGATATGCAATCTTCATTGTAGCATTGGTAGTTAAATCCACGGTAAGGATGCCGACATCAAACCATTAGTTAAATCCACTGGGCTCAAGCTTGAGTTTCTGAATGCTTGTGAAACGGATGTCCATCTGGTAATATTCTTATTTTATTGTTTGCTTATTGTGGGCTCCATCGAAAACTGAGGCAGCAAGAGTGAAGGCTGCTCAAGAGGCGTACAGAGAACTTCAAAATGGCAGGCAAGAATGCAGAGTGGAGAAAAAATGTTAAGGAGACCAAGGCAAAGCTCAGTGCCGAAGCTAAAGAAGGTGATCGACAGATGAAGAAGGCCACGCCGAAAATGAAGATGACCAGTGCGGATTATTTGTATCCTCCCTCGGAATCTACTTTAGTCTTTCAGTTTACATCTGGTGTTGGAGTTGGATCCAAATGTGGATGTCCGAGACGATCAAGCCATCCCATACAAACCAAAGAAAGTAAGAAACACAACAACCAATGCTGCTAAATACAAGAACCCACAACACCACCATCGTTTTCAGTGAGCAGATAGTGCCATAGTGGCGTTTCCCGAGCTATACTCCCCAAGTATATGGCGGAGGAGCCAAAGTCAAATTAAAGTCAAAATGAAAAAATAAGAACGCCACCTGCGTAATCGAAGCAACGACCACGTCGATACCTTTATCTGAAACCCTCTTTACAAAAGAAACAATTCAACCTCACTCTTGATCATCACCAAGTTGTTGTTTTGAACCACCCGAGCTACTTCACATTATGTTGATAATCAATTTTGACATCGCTGTCGATACCTCTACCGTCGGAGAGTGAAAGAAGATGTTGCCAATACCACTCCCAATGTTAGAGTATTGCATGGCAACTGAGTGTGGAGATTCACCAAGTTGCATGTCATGCATAATCACAGTTGTAGCAATGCAAAGTGAAGTTTCTTCGTTGAATCTTAAAAGCATCTACTCCACATATGATGAGCACAACAACATTAGAGAGATTACTAATGGAAATCTAGAGTCTTAAATGTATTTACAGAGTTCTTCAAGTCTTTCAAAAGAATCTGTGGTTTGCAGATAAATAATTTCAAGAGTATTAGAGTTGGAATTTAGTGGAGATTACAGAGCCAATAATACTAAGGATTGGAGTGGACAACAGATTACAGTTGTTGAAATCAATTATCTTCAGTTTGCAGAATTCATTGACACCGCTACATATCATGATTACAGTCTTCCAAACAAGGCTTCTCCAAAGTTCATGGAACCAAGTAAACACACACACACACACACAAATGATGTCTGATATAAAAAAAACTGGGAAGTGCTTAAGCAATGATAACATAATGCAAAGTGCAGTTTCTGTGTTTGATAAACATGAGTGGAATATCACTAAAATTATATGGCATCAAGCCGATGACGGATACCTTACATGGAAGGCAATTCCAAATGTTTTTTCACAACAGTTAATGGATGTGGATGACGAGCAGATTTAACTTCACTTCCAAGCTTCATAAACTGAGGATGCCCGAGAGTGCATATGGAATGAAGAGAGTTATCACAATCAACACAGTAGTAAAACTAGTCATTAGGGTTGCGCTCATTCTCACATAGATCGCAATAATATTGAGAAGGACTGGAATCATCAGAATAAGTCAGAGTAAGAGGATGTCTATCATTTTTATACCAAGCTATGAGCGGTTGCCACACATGGTATATCTAAATCGAAATTACAACGCTTCATGCATCTCTATTCAATGCGATCTCCAGATATTACTCTGCGACAACCACTGCACTTTGTTGTAAAGTTGTGGGCAAGAAAGAGTGAATGTTCATGACATGGATGCTCCAAAGTGTCCGAGAGTTTCATACATCTAACGTCCCAATTAAAGTGTGATTTGCCCTCTTCATTGTAGCATCGATAGCTAAATCCATTGTACGGACTATAACAACCATAGCATATTGAATAGCCATCCACTGGGCTCATGCTTGAGTTTGTGAGTGTTTAGCACATGCTTGTAAAATGGGTGTCGTTTTTCAGCACAATCTTTATGGAGAAAAAACTTGCATTGATCTCAACTATAAAATGGAGTTGAGATAGGCCTCATACACCCATCACATTGGATATCATCTTTGATCTCCCCACTAAAAGTGAGTCTTAAATTGTGATCACGATACTCATGTTTGATCTCAGTCGCTACCATCTGCTCTCCGATACTCGTTTGTTCAACAACATCAGTAATCAAATTCAAGGATGCATGTTGTGTTTCTTTGCAGCTCTCATCATTGTCTTCCAAGACAATTGTTCCATCCCAAATTGCTTTATTGGTAGCACAATGTACATGAGCAATATAATCACAATCAGATGCAGAACAATAGTAACTTCAATACCTTGTATTGACATCTTCATAACAAATTCTGCATATCTAGTCTCTGACATCATTTTGTGGAAGAGAATATGAATGAGAAATCATATGAGGATGTCGTGTTATCATGAGACTGCGAGGCATTGAAATGCACTTCTTGTGGACAACAAGATTACACTTGGTACAAAGATAAGGGGAGTGATCTCCAGAGATGCCACAAAAATCACAAGTAAATGGCATTTGTCTCTGTTGGTTTTTGGCAAAAGTCCCACATTGGTTGTGTATAAGGAGGAGGGGAAATTCTTTTGTTATAAATAAAGCCCTTCTCCTCCTTAGTTAATCATCCCACAAATATAAGCCTTCTTCTATTTTAAAGGCTATTTGTATTCTTTCTCTCTTTGTAATATTTCCTCTATTAGTGAAATATTTTGGTGTTCTCTTTTATGTCTATTTAATAGCTATTGTCGGGTATAGTTGTTGTCAATTATTGTCCTATTAAAATTACTTGTCTTGGTAGTTCTGTCTAAGGAAAGTGGGTTTTAAGAGGGACCATTGTGACCCCTCCTCTTTCCTGGGAATCTACCTTGGGGTGATTTTTAGTACAATCGTTTTCACACTAGTCACCTAGATAATAGTTTTCAAGGTGAATCTGTTATTGGTGGAAATTAACCCGAATTTCACAACAATTGGTATCAGCGCTCTTGGTTTATTTTAGTATGCTCTGTGGTTGCGGCTTAGGCTGATCTTCCACATCAGAAAAATTTCCTTGGGATAATTGACATTCTGCATTGGCAGCTATTAAATAGAATTTGTAGCAGAAATGGCAGACGCTTCTTCATCTTCAATTTTGGCAAGAAATGCTGTGACAAATGTTAGATTGCAGTGGAGATTTTTGATGGCACCGGTCATTTCGGCATGTGGCAAAGCGAGGTTCTAGATGCCCTATTTCAGCAGGGTCTAGACATTGCTATTGAAGGAGAGAAACCAGATGATGTTGAGGAGAAAGAATGGAAGAGGATCAATAGAATGGCATGTGGTACTATTCGATCGTGTCTTTCTAGAGAGCAGAAGTATGCATTTTCTAAGGAAACTTCTGCAAGTAAATTGTGGAAGGCACTGGAGGAGAAATTTTTGAAGAAAAGCGGTCAGAACAAACTCTACATGAAAAAGAGACTGTTCCGCTTCAACTATGTACCAGGTACCACTATGAATGATCACATTACTAGCTTTAATCAGCTGGTGACTGATCTGATGAATATGGACGTGACTTTTGAAGACGAAGATCTGGCTCTGATGTTGATGGGATCACTTCCTGATGAGTTTGAGTATCTTGAAACTACTCTACTTCATGGGAAGGTTGATGTGTCTCTCAGTGAAGTAACTGCTGCCTTGTATAGTTATGAATTGAGAAAGAAAGACAAACAAGAAAACACAAGTGTCGAAGCAGAAGCTCTTGTTGTTAGAGGCCGTTCCAAGAGTCAGAATAAAGGAAGCAGAGGGAGATCGAAGTCAAAGTCCAGATTGAGCAAAGATGAATGTGCCTTTTGTCGAGAAAAAGGGCACTGGAAGAAAGAATGTCCCAGGCTAAAGAATAAAGGCAAACCTGAAAGGGGGAAGGCTGTCTCAGAATCAAATGTGGTCGAGTATGATGATGGAGATTCAGATTTCGCATTCGCTGCTACGCCATCAACCAGCTATTCTAGTTCATGGCTGTTAGATTCAGCTTGTAGCCACCATATGACCCCCAATAGAGAATGGTTCTTTGATTTTAAAGAACTAAAAGGTGGAATTGTCTACACAGCAAATAATTCCCCTCTTGACACTTGGGATTGGTTCAATTCGCTTGAGGAATCAGGATGGATCAATCAGAACCTTAACAGGTGTCCATTATGTACCAGATTTAATGAGAAATCTCATCTCTGTGGGAACCTTAGAGTCAAAAGGTTTAGAAGTGAGGGCAAAAGATGGGATTATGAGGATTATCTCTGGTGCACTGGTGATAATGAAGGGAATCCGAAAAAGAAACAATGTGTATTACTTTCTGGGTAGTACAATTGTTGGGACAGCAGCAGTGGCAGCTTCTACTGATGAACAGGAGTCAGAAGCAACCAGGTTATGGCATATGCGCTTGGGGCATGTTGGTGAAAAATCCTTGAAATTATGATAGATCAAGGATTATTGAAGGGTGCTCGGGCTTGCAAATTAGCTTTTTGTGAGCATTGCATCAAAGGGAAGAAGACGAGGGTGAAATTTGGAACAGCAATCCATGATACTAAAGGTATTTTGGATTATGTTCATTCAGATGTATGGGGGCCTTCCAAGACAACTTCATTGGGAGGAACACACTATTATGTCACATTTGTTGATGATTTTTCCCGGAGAGTTTGGGTGTATCCAATGAAGACAAAGGATGAGGTGCTAGGATTTTTCCTTAAATGGAAAAAGATGATGGAGACTCAAACAGGCAGAAAAATCAAACGTCTCCGTACAGACAATGGTGGAGAGTACAAAAATGATCCATTTCTGAAAGTCTGTGAAGAGGAAGGTATTGTTAGGCACTTCACTGTCAGAGGTACACCACAACAGAATGGAGTGGCAGAGCGTATGAACCGGACATTAGTGGAGAAGGTTCGGTGTATGTTGTCTAATGCTGGGTTAGGCAAAGAATTTTGGGCTGAGGCTTTGGTCTATGCTTGTCACCTTGTCAACCGCTTACCATCGACTGCTATTGGTGGTAAAACACCATTAGAGAAATGGTTTGGAGTACCTGCTACAGATTATGATTCCTTACATGTGTTTGGTTCCACTGCATACTACCATGTTAAGGAGTCAAAGCTGGATCCAAGAGCAAAGAAGGCGATTTTTATGGGGATCACCTCTGGTGTGAAAGGCTATCGTCTTTGGTGTCCAGAAACAAAGAAAATAATCTTCAGCAGGGATGTTACCTTTGATGAATCTACCATGTTGAGAAAGGTGACTTCAGAAAAATTGGAGCAGACAGATGGAACTCCCAAAAAGGTGGAGTTTGAAGGAAGCAATTTGTCCCAACCAGTAAAGAAAATGATGTTGACTCTCCTATGGTAGAAGAAGAGTCAGATGAAGAAGAGGTTCAAACCCAAGAACCTCCACAGCAACATGAATCAATTGCACTCAGAAAGGGAAAGAGGACCATTAGACAACCTGCTCGTTATGCTGATATGGTCTCTTTTGCATCACCAATTGCAATTGATGACGTTCCTGCCACTTTTAATGAAGCAGTTCAAAGTTCAGAACATAAAAAGTGGAGGATTTCCATGAATGAAGAAATGCAATCCCTTCAAAAGAATCAGACGTGGAAACTAGCTAGTCTTCCGAAGGGAAAGAAGGCAATTGGGTGCAAGTGGGTATATGCAAAGAAAGATGGATTTCCTAACAAGAATAACATCCGCTACAAAGCAAGATTGGTGGCTAAAGGCTACGCTCAAACGGAGGGAGTTGATTATAATGAAGTATTTCTCCAGTTGTAAAACATTCCTCCATCAGAATTTTGTTGGCTTTGGTAGCGCAGTTGGATTTGGAACTAGTTCAGATGGATGTAAAAACTGCATTTTTACATGGAGACTTGGATGAGGAAATCTACATGACTCAGCCAGATGGATTCAAAGTTGCTGAAAAAGAAGAGATGGTGTGCAAATTAGAAAAATCGTTGTACGGATTGAAGCAATCTCCAAGGCAGTGGTACAAGCGATTTGACAAGTTTATGATAGGGCAGAAGTACACAAGAAGCAAATATGATCATTGTGTGTATTTACGCGAGCTAGAAGACGGATCCTATATATCTTCTTCTTTATGTTGATGATATGCTGATAGCTTCCAGGAGTCAGACAGAAATTGCGAAACTAAAGACTCAATTGAACAGGGAGTTTGAGATGAAGGATCTTGGTGAAGCGAAGAAGATTCTAGGCATGGAGATATCAAGGGATAAGAAATTGGGGAGGCTTTGTTTGTCTCAGAAAGAATATCTGAGGAAGGTACTAAAACGTTTTGGCATAAATGAGATGTCAAAACCAGTTAGTACACCTCTTGCTCCTCATTTCAAGCTCGGTGCATCCATGTCACCTAAGGATGATGCAGAACGGGAATACATGTCAAAGGTTCCGTATGCAAGTGCTGTTGGTAGCTTGATGTATGCAATGGTGTGTACGAGACCCGATATTTCACAGGCAATTGGGGTTGTGAGCAGGTATATGCATGATCCTGGAAAGGAGCATTGGCAAGCTGTGAAATGGATTCTGCGGTATATTCTGAACACCGTAGATGTTGGTTTGGTCTTTCAGCAGGACAAACAAGATGGTCAGTGTGTAGTTGGGTATTGTGATTCAGACTATGCAGGTGATTTGGACAAGCGTCGATCAACTACTGGTTATGTGTTTACATTTGCAAAGGCACCAGTCAGTTGGAAGTCCACCTTACAGTCAACAGTGGCTTTGTCTACTACAGAGGCAGAGTATATGGCAGTTACAGAGGCTGTGAAGGAGGCAATTTGGCTTCAAGGGTTGCTTGGTGAATTGGGAATGGAACAAAAGCACATCAAAGTGCACTGTGACAGTCAGAGTGCTATTCATTTAGCAAAGAACCAGGTTTACCATGCAAGGACGAAGCACATCGATGTTCGATATCACTTTGTACGAGAGATTCTAGAAGAAGGTGGAGTCATAATCCAGAAGATTCGGACCACTGAGAATCCTGCTGATATGTTGACAAAAGTGGTAACTGCGGTCAAGTTTAAACATTGTTTAGATTTGGTCAATATTGTTACAAATTAAAAGATTGTTTTTTTTTGGAGATGTGTGTGGAATTTGCCAAGGTGGAGATTTGTTGGTTTTTGGCAAAAGTCCCACATTGGTTGTGTATAAGGAGGAGGGGAAATTCTTTTGTTATAAATAAAGCCCTTCTCCTCCTTAGTTAATCATCCCACAAATATAAGCCTTCTTCTATTTTAAAGGCTATTTGTATTCTTTCTCTCTTTGTAATATTTCCTCTATTAGTGAAATATTTTGGTGTTCTCTTTTATGTCTATTTAATAGCTATTGTCGGGTATAGTTGTTGTCAATTATTGTCCTATTAAAATTACTTGTCTTGGTAGTTCTGTCTAAGGAAAGTGGGTTTTAAGAGGGACCATTGTGACCCCTCCTCTTTCCTGGGAATCTACCTTGGGGTGATTTTTAGTACAATCGTTTTCACACTAGTCACCTAGATAA